TAATGATGTTGTATTTTAAAAAGGCAAACACTATTGGAGACTAAATGAATGAAAGTGGGGCTAATAATTCAAAATTTCCAGGTAACTAGGCACACTTAGTGTTGATGATGGTTGCTCTAAGTCTTAGAAAAAATTTACTTTTAAGGGGCTTTATCTTCAAGTTCTAAGGTGCCCCAATGTCTGGAATGTACTCAAATCTTTCCAAACATTCTAAATCAAGCATTCTGTAAAGAGAGGGTGGCAATGCAGGCAGGAACCAAAACACTGGGGAATGGACATTTTCATTCAATCACAAACCATATGGAAAATATGTTGATATGGTATTAACTTGATGTGTTTGTGGATCAGTGCTCTTTGAGATCATGGTCATTTACTGTATTTCTTGTTCCCATGTACAATAAATAAAGTAGAAGTGTAGAGACTGGGGTTGCCTTCTCTCTGCAATACTTTCTTACCCTCCCACCAACAACCACACACAGACACACACCCTGGGAAGGCCCTGGAATAGGCCGTCTACATTCACTTTTCTTCAGTTACCTGTTCAGCATTTTAAGTGTATCATTCAGCATATCAGCCTATGAAAAAGGCACCCTGAGGGCCACTTGGCCTGCTTCAGATTATCTTTAGTTCAATTAGCCCTAAGATTCTTTAACTAAGGGTGTATTGGCAATGTCTGGACACATTTTTGGTTATTACAACTGAAGAGGAGGTATGCCACTGGCATCTAGTGGGTAGAGGTCAGAGATGCTGCTAAACGTCCCACAAAGTAGAAGGCACCTACACCACCAACAAAGATTTATCCAGTCCAAATGCCTAATGTCAATGTGTTCATAGTGCAGAGGTTTAGAAACCTTGATCTAGCCCACAAGGACTGGCATGTCACCAACAGGTTTGGGGCCAATAACTTGCTTAACCTTATTTTCACCATTCACTCTCTCTCTTTCTCTCTCTCTCTCTCTCTCTCTCCCCCTCTCTCTCGTGTATGCATGTGCACCCGTTACTCCTTCCCTCCCTACTTCCCTAGCTCCAAGTATGGGAGACAGACCACTCAGTTCCCAACTATAATAATTCAGATATTGCAGTCATAACTAATTCATCTTTAGAGATATAACTAGTACTAGCCATTTCTTAAATTTCTTAGTATTCACACTTCTTATGAGTTGAATGATTAAGATAAGTAAAGTGAATGATCCCAGGATAAAAATCTACTTTAAAGCATAACTGTTTGATTTGGCCAAAAGAAGATTTATACTTGTGAGTACACAAAACACAGAATTTATTCTTTTATTATTACTTATTAATGATTGTATCATTTTCCATATGAATAACTATAAACCTACTTTTGCTACACCCTGTCTTATTATTTAACTCAATATGATCAACTCAAGTGTTTTCATTTTTAGGTTATTTCAGGTCAAAAAAAATCAAGGAAAATGTAAAAGCCAACCATAAAAATATATTTTAGATTCTTTTTTTTTAAACTCATAAAAACACACAAACTTTTTCAATATGAAGAATAATTGTATAGGAAAATTTCCTGTTTCGTTTGACATCTGTGGATTAATTCAACTAGGCCAGGTGGCAGGAACATCAGCCTATGTAACTTTGTGTCAAAAGTAGACACAGGTATTCTCTGGCTCATGGAAGTTACCACTTACACTAAAAAATAAAATAAAATAGTTGAAAATGTTGACAATAAACATTTGCTCATAAGTTAAAGGTAAATGTCCTCTATATTCCTGGAGAAACTGTATAATCTGAATTCTGCAGATTTGATCTTTGATATATGGTACTAAAAGGAAGTAAGAAAATTATTTTTACTGTGTCAACAAATCCTGGCTTTCAAGCCAATTAACATACTAAAATAATTCTATCTTGAATATTAGAAGTAGAAAAGCATTTCTTCTTCTTCATATTCTTGCTATTCTAGCCTTAAAGCACTCCCACATCCATTCAGGACCAGCTACATAATTTTTGATACTAAGTGCAAAATGGAAAGACAAAGCTGCTTGTTTAAAAATCAAGAATTTCAAGATGGTGACAGCAGAGCGTTAAGCCAAGTACGAGGCCCTTGTCAGTGCCAGGCCCTCAGCAAGTGCATGTGACCCACCCACAAAGCCGACTCTGCTTCCAAGTCTCACCCCAGTGTATTCTTTCAAGGTCACATGCAGAAAATGCCACGTTTAAGCTATTACCCTTCAGGGCCTCCACATTCAGTTAAACAGCTTCTGCACTGAACAACTCTAAGGTCACTCATGTCAGAGGCTGAGGGAACTGCATGCTCTGAAACCGTGGTATGCAATCTGCATGGGCAGATGTGCCAGTCCTAAACACCAGTCACAAAGGGATCCTCCTCTCTGTTTTAACAAAGAGAGTGACACTACATAGTTACTACCTTTCTCATCCACCAAAAAATGAGAAATGATTCAACTAGTTTTCAAATTCAATGACTTTTCCATCTTTCCCTCTATACTCAGTGACTGAAGAGGGTGTTTTGCATTTATTAAACCTTAGTTCAAAAACCATAAGGAAATTCACTGGTATTTTTCTCAAAAACAGAAATATATTTTATATTTTTTCCTATTTGAAGCATTCATTTTATGAGATTTCCATGACAGTGTAACCCATTTTTGCATCATAGTGTTATCATGATTTACCTTTTACTCGAGGAAGCACTAAAGTTTATGAAGCTCTTTGGTGTAGATCAGAGGAACAGCCCCATGAACACTCTGCCAGCACAGTAGAGTTAATGAATATTAGAGCTGGAATTGATTGAAGAGACAGTCTTTTCCTGCCTTCTTAAATAGATGAGGAGCCAAAAACTGGACTTGCCTCCAGTCACACTGGTAGATATTGAAAGAGTAAAGACTAGAGATCTCTCATCCTAGAGACCTTGATTTCCAGGACAAGCAGGGTATCACATATGTACTTAAATCAGACCCATCCTGAGAGAAAAGTGCTAATGCTTCTGTCATCAAGAGAAAGTCAATGTCTTATGAGTAACTATAACTGTGATTCAGATTTGACAGATGACACATTAGCAGTTACCCTGTTGGATCCTGTGAACTCATGTTACCGTGTGGCACAACTGCTGGAAATGGGTGCTGTCTGTCTCTGCGAAATATTTGCACCTTTGTTAAGATTCTTTATGTGTTCTCACTGTAAACCCTCTCTTTCCAGGTGTTTACAACAAGCTCATAAGCATTCTGTTCACATGCAGACATCTGAAGCACAAAAACTATCAGCAATAAAAAGAATTTAGAAGTAGTTACTAAAAATTCAAAAATATTACAGGGACTACATTTTATCAAACAGAAAAGGGAATGTTTACAAGTCTTAAACGGATTATTTTGCAATATATTTAAATTTTATAATCTTGAGAGAAACATTTTGTTCTTTTTCCATATGCAACAATCAGAATTATTGCCATCTGAATTGATTTCACTTTGTCATTGTCTTTCTGTTTCACATGAAGTAACTGGTTTTCTCTCCCACTGTAACAGAAGGAAGACAATCTCTATCACCAGAATGAGTGCATATAAATTCTAAATGTAAAGACACAAAGCTTCTTTAGAAATTTGTGCTTCCTTCCATATCTATTATAAAGAGTTAATTGTTTGTTGGCCAATTCATTACTTGCTGATATTCTTTGCCCAAATGGATTATAGGATTCTTTCTTCTGAAAAGTATTAAAACTGAATAGCTAATAAAATTTGACCATCAAATCAATGATCGGGTAGTAACTAATGGTCTGATATCTCATAGTATTAGCATAGGTATCTAGTTAGGTATTAACAAAAGAGAAGGGGGACAGACACTTAATTAACCAGATGAACGAGAAAACTACAGCTTCACAGACAGTCCAGGGAACAGCTGCATAGCTGCTCCGAAGAGATTACATCCTAGGCAGGAAAGACTTGCTTTCCTATCTCCCCAGGCAACAACTGGACTGTTCCTAAAGATTAGTTGGGGGAGAGGAGATACACTGGGAGAGAATAATTACTCTACTGAGGCTTGAACAGTGGAAGCCAGATGAGGAAACAAAACCAGTCATGCACAATAGGAGTCATAATTGTGATCATAAAGGGGAGGAGTCTAGCCTGGGAAGATCAGAGAAAAAGATCCTATAGGATAAGGGCATGAAACACCAGAAGATACAGAAAAGGGATTGGATGAGGGGACCCAGTATAGCACTGGAAAGATGCAGGAAAGAGATGGGAAGAAAAACTACTCTTGCCCAAGCCCAAGGAAATATCAAAGCTTAACAAATGGCCAGAGGCATTCTCTCTCTTTAGCAGATGCTCAGGCCTATCACAAGCCAGATGGGAACAGAGACTGTGCTGGACTACTGGAGCCTCAGGTGCCAGGCTATGGCCACAGGAATGCTGGATCCTGGCCCTCATCTTGGGCTTGGTGGGCTCAAGTGCAGGCCTGCATCCTGAAGCTGGACTTCTTCTGCATCTAGACAGAGCTCAGCCATCTGGTTGTGGATTGAGACCTCACCTAAGCTCTTCCTTTGCTTTTACTCCAATAAATCTTGCCATTGCACCTCAAATCCTCTTATGCTTGTATCCTTGAAATGCATTTCCTGCAATACTATGGAAGAATCCTATTGCCTCCAGCAACAGTAGTTCTAAAAAAGACATTTATAATTTTTACAAAGGCTAGTTTTCCTCTTAAAATGACATATGTGCAACTTGGTGAGCCAACACTATTTCCATTATCAAAAAGAACTGACTTGAAATAGTATGTGAAACAGGAAGAGTTTCTAAAACAGTAGAGCAGATATTTCTTCATGTTAGTATAGGTTGCATTATTAGCCCCAGTTCTTCCTCCTTCCCAATAGGCATATACTTTGTCATGTAATTTTGCAATTCTGTTCTTGACCTTGGACTTGACTATCTGACTTATTTTGGCAGTGATGAGAAATGCAGTTTTCCAGTTGCTCTTTTGTACCTTTTTCATTGCCATTAAGAACAGCTTGCTTTGCTTATCCCAAGTCAGGAAGGAAGATGAGAGACTGGTGGTAAGAACAGAACGGCCCCAACTGATCCACAGAGGGACAGTGAGAGGAAGTGTGGTGCAAAGCCCTGCAACGTGAAGGTGAGTAGCCCAGTCAAGCCCAGCCTAGATCAGCTAGACTCCCAAAGTCCTGCAGACACATAGGTGACAATAAATGACTTTTGTTTAAAGCCGCTGGATTTGAAGTAGTTTCTTATTCAGCAGCATTTAACAGATCCATTGGGCTTCCACTGTCAAATCCAGGAACAAGACGTAGCGGAAATGAACACATAACGGAACTTCTGCTAGAGAGCAAAATAAGGCCAAAAAAAGTCTTAGGTTGGCGTGCCTGTTGTTCTCAAAACACAGAGGAAATTGCTTCCATTGGAAATCAGAATAGTTAAAAATGGTCCACATTTGTTGAGTTTGCTGAGAAAAGTTACCATTGCTTTGCAAATAGTAACTTCCAAAATTTGTACACTCTGGAAATTTTTCTGAATTTGGAGACTGGAGGGGTTCCTTGCCATTCTGAAAATACCTCACTTTGACTAATCTGCACCACTCACTTAGAATTACAGTGCTTTTTCCCCTCAACATAGGTTGTTTAACTCTTATTTAATACAATTTCATAGGGAGTAGATGACTATTATTCCAACCTAGGGTAATTTTTATTTTGTTTTGTTTTGGTGCTTAGAACACAGGTTAAAGATTTTGAGATGAATAAATGAAAACCTCCGATTCTGAATAATTCTCATGAATATTGTAAATATTTGACTTAAATATCAAAATCATTTCAATTGTACAAATAGATGACAATACATTCTTATGTCTATTGGTTCCATAAAGCTTCTTCTAAGACATAGATGGTTCCTCATAAACATAATGTCTCTAATGATTTAGTTCAAGTCAGAGACTTGGCTTCAGCTTTGCTTTGAGAATGAACTGAGCATGTTTACTCAAAAGGTCAATGGTAGTGTCACAGGTTTGATTCCCAGTAAGGGCACATGCCTGGGTTGCAGGCCATGGCCCCCAGCAACCGCACATTTGATGTTTCTCTCTCTCTCTTTCTCCCTCCCTTCCCTCTCTAAAAATAAATAAATAAAATCTTTAAAAAGAAAAAAGATCAATGGTGCAAACTGAACATATTAACTAATGAAGGTAGAAGCACGTAATTGCAAGTATTAAATTAAGTATCTGAAAATGGATTGTGCCCTTGTAAACAAATAACTATTTTCATCTACTTCCTATTCTGTAAGCACAATGGCTTTAGCAGTTTTTAAAAAATCAATGTTTCATTACCTGAAGACCTTGCCGAGGACTGAGGATATTTTTCTGCTGTTGACATCTCATTAAGATTATTTAACAACTATGCAATCTATTTGCTTCCTTGGTGCTAAAATTGATAAATTTTTCAAAATATAATCCAGAGTTTTCAGAGAAAAACTCCTAGTTTTTTGACCCAATGTCAATGTCTATCACTGAAAGGTATGAAATAAAACAATAAATGTGTTCAGTCAAGAGGATAGAAAATATTGATATATTAAGCAATAAATAAAGCCTTGCCTTAATGATGCTATTAAAAGAATAATATGAATATTTTTAATAAGGTCGTTTTTAAATTGCTACTTCACAATAATTGGATATTGATAATATGTGTTTTATTATCTTTTAAGAATGCATTAGAAATCATGAGTATTTTGTTTGCTTTTTTCCAAACATAGAGAACAGAGGCATTGTCCAGATAATTTTAGACAGAAAGCAAGATTTCTCTCTGTTCATTTTTTACAGAAATTCAGACTTATGGAAGTTTGCAGGGATAGTGTCTAGAATTAGAATTCTCAGATACCCTTTATCCAGATTTTCTAAATGTTAATATTTTACCCTAATTCTTAGTACATACATATATTAGAACTGCTTAAAGATAAGTTGCAGATATACTCTAATATTTACCCCTAAACATTTCAATATGTATCTCCTATAAGATGATTATCTAACATAATCACAGTATAGTTATCAATATCAGGAAATTAAGACTGATACAATATCAGATACTCTATAGGCCTCTTTCAATTTTGCCAACTAACTCAACAATGTTGTTTACGGCAAAACGAAACAAAACAAAAAAACCCCTCAGTTTATGCATTAGATTCAGTTGTAAAATCTCTTTAGTCATCTTTAATCTGGAAGGGTTTCTCAGAAAATTTCCATTTCACCAATATTTTTTAAGAATACAGTCACACTATTTTGTAGAATGCCAGTCAGATTGGGTTTATTTGATGTTTCCTTTTGATCAAATTCAGCATATGCATGTTGAGTCAAAAATATCATAGAAGTGGTTTTGCTTTTCTCAGTGCCCTGGTTCCTATTAGAGGACTATTTAAAAAGAAAGATTAGGACTCTAGGAAACATGTATATGCATGTGTGCACATGCACACACACACACACACCTTTTTCTATATCTCAGGGTTTCTTAACCTCTCGGCACACTGCTAGTCTGGGTCAGATAATTGCTGGAGGTGCTGCCCTCTGCACAGTAGGATGTTTAGCGTCATCCTAGTAGATGCCAGTGGCATGCCCTGCCGTCCAGATGTGATAACCAAACTGTTTGAAGACATCTCCAAATTTCCTCTAGTGGGTAAAATTGCCCCCAGCTGAGAATCATTGAAGATCTATTTAAAACCATCAATTCACACTGATACCTGCAATTACAATCCAACTGCACAGGGATCATTCTGTCTTCTCTCTTTCTTGTATTGTAACTCTTTTCTCCAACAGTGAAAAACCTGGCTCCCACCATCCACTGTATATTTACTTATCTATCATTCCTTGAAAAATATACATATATACATATACATATATATACACACATATATATTTGCATCTGTGATAACCCATGCTACCAAAAAATAAAAATAAAAAGTTGAATTTTGTCAAAGACTTCTTTTACCTCTATAGAGATGACCATATGATTTTTCTACTTATATCTGTTAATATAGTTTATTATCTTATAATTTTTGTAATGTTGAACCAAATTTGCAATTCTAAAAGAAACCCACTTGGTCATGGAATACTGCTTGCTGGTGTGTTGCAAAGTCCATTTACTTCATTTGGAACTTCTGCTTCAATACTTAGAAGTGGCAGTGTTCTGCAATGTTTTTCATACTATCAGTTTTTTTATACCAATATTACCTTTTCTTCATAAAAAGAATAGAGAAATTTTCTTTCATTTCTAATTTTCTGAAACAATTTCTGAAGCTTTGGGATTATAGTAAAATCATCCAGGCCTTAGTGGTTTTCTGACATGTTAATTCTTTGACAACTCTCTCTAGGAAAATTGATCAGAATAACCTTTCTGTCTTTACTGTGATCAATCATGGTAAATTTATTTCCCTATGAAATTTCCCATTTAATGTAATTATTTTTTGTTTTTTTACATATTATTTTTATTTTTCCGTTACCATTTATCCCACCTATACCCTCTCCTACCTCTGCCCACTCACGCCCCCTCCCACAATCCCCACACTATTGTCTGTTTCCATAAATTCTTTCTCTCTCTCTTATTTTTTTTTGCTGGATCCCTCAACCCCTCCAACACCACCCCCCACTACCCCACCAGAGCTGTCTGCCTGCTCTCTCTCTCTGCATTTTTCTCTATTTTGCCTATTCGGTTTGTTCATTAGAGTCCACACATAGGTGAAATCCTATGGTATTTGTCTTTCTCTGACTGGTTTATTTCACTTAGCATAATGTTCTCCAAGTCCACCCATTCTGTCATGAAATATAAAATTTTCTTTTTTCTTGCAGCCAAGTAGTATATAATTGTGTAAATATACCATAGCTGTTTTTAATCCATTTTATCCACTCATCTGCTGATGGACACTTGGGCTTCTTCCAAACCTTGACTATTGTAAATAATGCTGCAAGAACATAAGGGTACATGTATTATTTTGAATTAGTTTTTCAGGTTTCTTTAGATAAATTACCAGAAGTGGAATCACATGGTAATAAAGCATTTCCAGTTTTAATTTTTCGAGGTATCTCCATACTGCTGCACCAATCTGCAAAACCCACCAACAATGCAAAAGTGTCCCCCTTTCCCCACATCCTCTCCAACACTTGTTGTTTGTTGATTTATTGATGATAGCCATTTTGACAGGTGTGAGATGGTATCTTATTGTGGTTTTAATTTGTATTTCTTTTATGATTAGTGACATTGAGCATCTTTTTGTATGTCTATTGGCAATCTGTATGTCCTCTTTGGAGAAGTGTCTATTCGGGTCCCTTGCACAATTTTTAATTGGATATTTTGGGCATTGAGTTTTATAAGTTCTTTACAAATTTTGGATAATAACCCCTTATCAGATACATTGGTGAATATTTTCTCCCAATCAATGGGTTATCCTCATTTTTTTGATAGTTTCCTTTATTTCCAAAAACTTTTAGTTTGATGTAGTCCCATTTGTTTGTGTTTGTTTTTTCTTCCATTGCTTGAGAATAAGAAATAAGAATCTTCCATCTTCATGTTTGAAGATCCTCAGTTTAAGTTAGCCAATGGTTTTCTATTTTTTAATTAAAAATAAATCAAGATTTTGATTTATTCATTGATTTGTTGCTTTACAATTTTCTTTCTGATTTTCTACTTTTATCTATTATTTTTTCCATTTACTTTCATCTAGTTTAATTATTTTTTCCAGATTTTGTTCTAAGATATTAATTCATTTAATTCAGTTCTTTAATGTATATTGAAAAGGTGTTTTAGGCTATTTCAATGATCTCTAACCCATAGAATTTAATATGTACTATTTTCAAATTAATTTTTAGAAATTTTTTAGTTTTTGTGTTTTTTTTCTTTTTACACCCAAGAATTGTTTATCAAAAGGTCTTTAAATTTCTCAATGAAAAAAACCTTTCTTTAAACTATGCTAATATTTGTAATTTATTGCATTTTTCATCAAAAATGGTTTTTGTAATATTTCTACTCATGTAACTTTCTGGAGGTCTTTAAATATGACCAATGTTTGCAATGTACCATATGTGCTTGAGAATTAGGTATATTGTTTATTACTAGCGTGTAATGTTCTATATCCATCCAAAGATCTGCCCCATTCATTGTGTTGTTTAGATTTCCTAGATCCTTATTTATTTTTTGTGACTCTGATCTGTGTTGTACCTAGTGGTTTCTCCTACTATTAGTGTGTTTCTATGTGTCCTTCTACTATTTGCTTTATAAAGGTGATTATTTTGTTATTAGGTACATAAATATTTATACCTGTTATCTTTATATATGTTTATTTGTGTTTTTAGTGTAAATTGTACTTTTAAAATTAAAAAGAATCTCTTTTTATCACTTCAAATACTATATTATTTGAGTTCTATTTGTCCAATCTCAATATCCCTGCCCTGCATTCTTATTGTTTTTATTTTCCTGTCACACTTTTATCCTTGTCTTTTTTCTTCCTTTGAGAATCTCTTATATAGAGCATAGAATTGAGTCTTAATATGAGAGTCAAATTAAAGTCTATTTCTTTTAACAGGTGAATGAAGCCCATGGTTTGAAGGGAGCATTGAGTGTAGAGGTTGTGTGGAAATCAATTTTTTCCTTTGTTTGTTGGTTTGTTTTTCCTTTTGCTTTGTAAGATCCTAAACCTACCCACCTCCTGTTCATTTTTCCTTCCCTACAATTTCCTAATACTTGTCCCTTCTTGAAATCCACTTCTCTCCCCTAGAGGATTCCTTTCTTAAGAATGCCTCCTCACCTTTGGGGTGCACCATTAGGTACCTATCCTGTAAGCAGCAGTCTGACATATTGTATAATTTTTCAATCATAGGGTTAATTTTCTCTTAATAGCAATCATACCAGCTTTTCTCTTGTCTCTTCAGTGCAGTTTTACCCAACCTGTCTTAGTTCTCTGTAAGGGCTGGCAGCAAAAGTATAAAAGTGTATGAGATAGTGTGCTAGGTATTGATATTTATTTTTCTACTTAGAGTTCATTTCAATTTTTAAATTATTATATCTTTATTTATGTTGAATGCCTAAGTTTTGTTTGCTTTGATTTTTCACTGTTTATTTCTCCCCCTTTGCAGGAAATGTTGGATGGTTTGTATACATACCACTATATCATTACCTGGACTATTAAGAACAATGAAAGCCCATGATTCCCTATGTTCCCTGAACAATTATGTCTTACATATGTAAGAAATGCTTTTGCAACTACAAGTAAGAGGACACTCAATTATAGGGAGGAAATTATGCTTTTCTTTAGGATGTTGAAAGATGTGAAACAATGTTGAAGACACTTAGACAATGAGAAAATGTTGGATATTCTACAAAATCAACTGCTTTCAGTAATATCAGCTCTTTCTGTCTTCTGTAGCTTTTCTTGCTTTGCATGCTGGCTTTCATTTATATGCATGAAGCTTCATGATTGCAATATGACTGCCATTGTCTCAAGTTCAAGGCAGAAGAGAAGAAACTTGTTTAGTTTTAGCAGCCTTTGTTTCTTTTGTCAGGAAAAGAACATTTTCTTATAAGGTGAAGATCAGGCCTCCACTAACATCTCATTGATCAGAAGTGTGTTACACACCTTATTCTACCTGCAAGGGAGGCTATAAAAGTGAGTATTTAGCTTTTTTCAGGCTCTATAGGAGAGGCAAGCAAGGGGCCAGTGAGTTGAAATGAATGAGAGCTGGGTTAGCCAACACAGAGTATCTGTAGCACTTGTACTTCTTTTATGCACCTCATATCTCTTATTGGGTTTCAGGTCACATAACTAGAGTTGAATTGACATTTGGACTTGACCTAGTTAATAATATGTATGTATGAAATATATGCATATATAGATTTTCATACTTATGTATATTTGTTCTAGGAAAATCAATGATTGTACTTATTTAGTGGTATTATTGAAATAGAGATTAAGTGTCCCCATTTGACATCATGTTAGGAGTCTTTCAATATTGTGATGAGTAGTGTCATTCTTAGACAGAACAAAGGCCCAAAAGCTCCAAATTTACAGCAAACATAATACAGGAATTTAAACTATGAACACTATAAGCAGACATTTGAAACAGAGAACATCACCACCATCCTACCCAATTGACATGTCAATAAAGCTGTTGCTTACTTAGCAATTACAATGTGTTTCTATTAGGATTATTGCACAAATGCACTGAAATGATGAGTATAAATTTCCTTACACAGTGCTCAATAAATATTAGCTATGGCTACTACTCTTATTAGTGCCACAATATTCTGCCAAGTACAATAGTAACTGCTTTTTATATAATTACGTATTCTTTGCAATAGTTTTATGAGGTAGGCATTGTTATCACTATTTTACATATGAGGAAACTAAGCTTATTGACATTAAATAACTTGTTCAAAGTAACATAACTTATAAGTAGAGAGGCCAGGACCCCAAATCAATTGGATTCCAAAGATGGTGCCTAACAATCACCATCTAAGTTCTGTATTATTAGGGAAATGCTCACACAAGTAACAACCCCTTTTGTCACTTCCCTCTCTGCTATTCTTCACTTCTACACCACCCCATCCTATTATTTCTTAGAGTAAGGACATTAAAATTAGCATATCTAGCATATCTTCTCAAGAGGTCTAGATTTGGTTGCATTTTTTTAATCTGTCCTGGTATAACATTAATTACCCTTTATTATAATTATTTTCACATCTGTCACCCTCAAAAGATAGGAAATTCCAGGTATGAATAGATCAATTTTTTTCCTGATCTCATGGTGTTTACAGTACTCCTCAATTGAAAAAATTCTTTGTGAAGTAAAGGAATTTAGCTCTTCATCAATCACATACCTGTCATAATTTTTCAAATTGAATTTTATTTTACAAGTATTGGTTTTTGTTTTTGGCCTCTAGCCAGGCTAATCTGGAAAACAGAGAAGAGACACAAATGCCAATATTAGGAGTAAAAGAGAGGACATCAATGGAAGTTCTGTACACAATAAAAGGAAAATAAGTTTTATTCAAATCTATGTATATAAATATATAACTTAGGTGTGAAGAACCAAATCTTGAAAATATACATACTACCAATGTTTAAACTTATCCAAAACATAATACAATGAAGATTTCTGTATCTATTACATTTAATTCCCAATTACAAAACTCCACAAAGAAGACTCTAGTAGAGATGACTTAACTACTAAAATCTATCAAATGTATAAGAAAGCAATAATATTAATTCTACAAAAACTCTTTCTGAAACTAAAAGAAATGAGATCACTTCCCAATTCTTTTTATGAGACCAGCACACTGATATTAAAACCAGACAAAGACAACACAAGAAAGAAAACTGTACCCCAATATTTCCCAAGTACATAGGTACAAATCTTCTTACAAAGTATTATAACAACAAAGTAAACAATATTTAAGTAAGTACATCATGACTAAGCTATACATAATGTGACAAAAGTTTGAATCAACAATTGAAAAAAAAACAATGTAGAGTACTATATTAACACATCAACGAATAAAAAACATAAGATCCTTTCCATAGGTAAAGGATAAGCATTTAATAAAAGTTGATATCCATTCATGGTAAAATTAAGAAGGAAAAAACTCAGTGAACTAAGGAGAACTTTCTTTCTCTCATAAAGGACATTTTGAAAAACCCACAGCTAATATCAGGTTAACGATAAAAGGCTAAATGAACTGTCATTAAGACCAAAAAAACCAGGCAAGGATTTTCCCTCTCAACCCATTAGTCTGGATTATTTGGAGGTGCTACCTTATGCGATAAGTTGGAAGGAAGGAAGGAAGGAAGGGAGGGAGGAAGGGATAAAGAAAGGAGGATAAAGAAAGGAAGAGAAAGAAATATCATTCAGATTGGCAACATAGAAGTAAGACTGTTTTTGTTCCACCTAACATGATTATCTACTTAGAAAATTCCAAGGAATTTATAAAAATATTTACTAGAATAGATATGAGTTCTTTAAGGTTGTGTTATATAAGTCATTATACAGTATTTTAAGAAATCAATTATATTTATACTAATTATGAATAACTGGAAAGTGAACTCAAATAAATACTGCCACTAACAACAACATTAAAAAAAGAAAAAAGCATGAAACACTTAGGGGTAGATCTAACAAACTATGTGCAGTATGTGTACACTGAAAACTATAAAATATTTCAGAGATAAATTAAAGAAAGCTAATAAAGTAGAGAGATATACTTTGTTCAAGAATGAAGTAATTAAATATTGTTATGATATCAATTCTATTCAAATCTGTCTATATATTCAAAATACTACCAATCAAATTCCAGGAAACAATTTTTTAGAAATTTGAAAGTGATTCCAAAATTTATATGGCAATATAACAAACCTATTGTACCTGAAAACAAAGAATAAAGATGGAAAACTCATTTTACCTGACTTTAAGTTTATCTAAAACTACAGTATCAAGGCCATATAGTATTGGCATAAGGGTAGTACCAGTGGAGAAGAACAGAAAGTCCAGAAATAGACACATACAAATACAGTCAACTGATTTTTAATGAAGTTGTCAAGTAATTCAAACAAAATGGACATTTTTTTCCAACAAGTTTTACTCTACAATGGACATCCATATGCACAACTGAAACAAAATTGAAATAATATCTCAACCCTTACTCCATTATCTTGAATCATATAAAATTAACTAAAAATATATTACAGATCTAAATGTAAGATAGAAAACTCTAAAAGTTCTGGAAAAAAATAAATGTGACCTTGGATTAGGTAAATATTTTTAGATGATACAAAAGCACAAACCATAAAATAAAAATAACAATTTCTGTTTGTTGCAAGACACTGCCAGTAAAATTAAAAGACAAAACACAGATTGGAAATAAATATTTGCAAAACATTTCTAAAAAGAGCTGTATATATCTAAAAAGTCTTAAAACTCCGTAAGATAAAAAACAATCCAAATGAAAATAGCCAGATGGTTTGAATAGAATTTTCACCAAAAAAGATATAAGAATTGCAAATGATTGCAAATAAGTACTTGGGGGGAGATGTTCAACATCATTAGTTATTAAAGAAATGTAAATTAAAACCGCAGTGAGATAGTATGTGTGTGTGTGTATTTATATATATATATATATATATACACACACACACTATACATACACATATACTATATATATTATTAGAATGATTAAAATGATAAAATCTGAAAATACTAAGTGTCAGTGAGAATTCAGAGCCACAGAGAACTGGAATTCTCTCATACGGTGGTGGTAGAAATACAAAATGGTACAGACATTTCAGAAGAAAGTTGGCATTTTCTTATAAAGTTAAACCCTTATAGTTTTAAACCCATTTTCTTATAATGAACCATGCTCATTAGTTTTTGATAGTTTTGCTGAAGACAGAATCAATACCTCTTTACCAAAATTGGTTCAGATGTCAAGGCAGGTGATGTCACATATGTACCAAGAGAACATGAGAAAGTTTATTACTCACAAAATGAGACTTTCTGGGGAGAGGAGGGCACACACCCAAGACTGTCCAATGAGACGTAAACAAAGGGAGGGCTGATGACTTCATTTTTATTGTGATTAGGATACAGGACCAAGTTGAAGGTTTCAGAATAGTTTGAACTTCTCCATTAGTACCAAGTGAAGGAGTACACGGGCTTTTTCATGGTTTACAGAGAAGGATGTAGGAAAAAAAGAGGTCAAACATCAAAAATGGAGTCAGACACCTTATTATGCTTACTGTAGGACACGACAATCCCACTCTTAGATATTCACCAAAGAGAACTTATAACATATAGCCATAAAACCTATATACAAATGTTTATAACCAAAACTGGACCAACCTCAAAGTCCATTAACTGATGAATCAGTAAACAATTTGCAGAACATACATACAATGGAATAGTACCTAGCAATAAAAAGAAACATTTATAAGTTCATGCAACAGGATGAATAAATATCAAAAACATCATGCTGATAGAAGCCAGATACTAAAGGCCACATACTCTATAATTACATTTATATGACAATCCGGGGAAGACAAAACTATAAAGACAGAAATTGGTTAAGTGGTTGAGGGAACTGAGTTCAAGGAAAACGAGAACATTTCAGACATCTTGACTGTGATGACAGTTACATAGCTCTATATTTCTCAAAACTCAATAAAATCTACTTATGGAAAGTGAAATGGTATAAAATCATGTGACCATAAACTTGAGTTAAAAATAAACTTCTATAAGATAAATAGAATTAATATTACTGTCTTTGAAATCCAGATAAGTGAACTCAAGCTTACGTGTAAATGGTCTGCTAGAAACAATCCAGGTGGTAAGTGGCAAAGGCAGGGCTTAAATTCAAATCACTGAATTCTCATCCCAAAGTTGTTCACAATATTACATTTTTTAATCAAATACAAGCACATTTACAAACTTTGTCTTCAACAGTGTAATGTGAAAGGGATTTAGATTTGTATTGTGTCCTTCCAAGGGGTCATATTGGGTCCATTAGACTAACAAGTAAGAATAACAGCAATTCAAAGTTTTAGTTCAAAACATAAAAAAAATTCTGCTTAAACAATGAGGCCTCTCTGAATATGGGCTGCTTGTTGATAGTGTCAAG